CTCTCCTTTAAAAATGCGCACCTTTCAAACTGAAACAAGTAACGATTTCAAATTTCTACTGTCCATAGAAGACACTTTTTGCGAGGGATGCGGTAAAATTTATTGAAATCATCGCAAATCGTAATTTTTGCCGGCCAAGTTAATAACCATCTCAAAATGGAAGCTTTTACCCAATTGCACTTCCTCGTAAAAAATAGTATAATAGAAAGTCCGGGAACTAGAAACTTGAAATTTTCACCATTTGTAGTAGACAATTGACTCTACAGGTGCCGAATGTTTTACTAAAATCTCCCGTAATGCTGATTTTTGTCAGCTTGGTAAATGCCGATTTGAATATAGATGTTTCAACTCAACTACGCTCTCTCTTTTAAAAATACAAATCATTGAAACTAAAGCAGGTACCAATTTGAAATTTTCACCGTCTTTCGAACACACTTCGCAAGACCGAAGCTGAAAGTTTTATAGAAATTGCGATGATGTTTGCGATACTAGTAAGTATCGATCTCGAAATGGATGTGCTTGCTCAATTGCGCTCTCTACTATAAAAGTTCGCACATTCCAAACTAATGCACGTAGCCACTTGAAACTTGGACCATCTTTAGCAGACACTTCGCTCTATAGATTCCGGTTGAATGATTAAAATTTCCCAAATCAAGATTTCTGCCCGCCTTGGTAATACCGATCACAAAATTGGGGGTTTTTACTCAATTGCAACTAAAATGTCACAGTTCGAAACTTTTTCCATCTTTAGCAAACACTTGGCTCTATGTGTAGGTGCAGATTGTATCCCTAAAATTGCCCATAATACACATTCTTGTCGGCCTAATAAAAGCCGATTTGAAAAATTATTTTTTTGTCAATTGCGCCCCTTCGTTAAAAAATTCATATAATCCAAATTAGAGCAGCAAGTAATGTTAAACTTTCACCGCCTTTAGCTGACTCTGGATCTGCAGATGCAAGCGATGTCATTAAATTCGCCCAAATCCTAATTTTTCCCAGCTGAGTAAATGTCGATTTGAGCATAGATGTTTTAACACAACGGCGCCCTCTCATATAAAAACTCGCACCTTTGAAACCAAAGTAACTAGCAATTTAAAATATTTATCATACTTATACAAGGCACTTGGTAAGAAAAATGGTGACAGTTTTATAGATATTGCTCGTTGCCAGCATAAGACGAACCTGTCTAAAATTGACATTTTTTCTCTATTGCGTTCTTGATATTCAAAAAATTCCTAAGTTCCCAACTCAAGCAACTAATAATTTTAAAACGTTCACCATCTTTAGCAGACCCTTCCATCTGCATATACCAAAGGTGTCGTTAAATTCGCCCAACATCCTGATTTTTTCCAGCTTCGTAAACACCGATTTCGCAATGGATGTTTTACCCAATTGTGCTCTCACTTTTAAAATTTGGTACATTTGCAAGTAAAGCAACTAGCAAGTGAAAAATTTACCATCCTTAGCAGACACTTCAGAATGCTTCTATGCGGAAAACCTTATGTCTTCTAATATTCTGATTATTGCCAGCTTAATAAATACGGAACTCGATATGCATGTTTTTACTAATCCGCGATCTTTGCGACTAAAAACTCGCATCTTCTAAAGTAAAAAAAGCAGCAATTTGATATTTTGACCAGATTTTAAATCAGTCTGTGCTTTACAGATGCTGAAAGTTTCATGAAAATCGCCGAAAATCCTGATTTTCGTCAGTTGATCCGGAAACAGGACCACGTTTGAGCGAATGCGCCAACATTGAGACGATTTTCCGTATTTTTTTCGGCTATAAATTGCGTTTTCAAATAGGTACTTAACGAGGTAATCAACTGCGAATAACTTCAAATATCTCAGGAAAGAATGCCTGTAGTGCCTGACACTGAAAATGTTAACGGATTCTAATTTCTCGCCCCTAAAACCCCTCGATACGATTTTTACAACTTCGTTCAGCTCGCAACATTACAAGCAAAAATTATTTTTTCGAATTTTTTTTACGCCCTGAGCTTCGAAACCCGTCGACTTTTGGATGATACAACTTCAATTTAATCATCTCATCACCCCAGGAATCTGTAATATTTACAGACATTTTGAAGATACCCGGTTCCAATTTTCAGCGCTAGTGGTTTTGAAAAAACAAGTTTACTTCAAACTATTTTCCCTTGTTTTAAGAAAAAGTTTATAACTTTTGCCTGTCTATATCAATTTCAGTAAATTCTCGAGAAAATCTCTCTTTCTTTAAAATCTACTATTTACCATTTACGACAGAGTTTCTCGAACTGGCAAGAAATATGGACTTAATGCATAAATGTAGGCAAAACGAATGTGGTAGTTCTTATTTAAATCGAAGGGCAACGTGCGGCAGCTAGCAATAAATCAAAATCAAAATAATTAAAAATTAATAAAAAAAACGAAGAAACTAATTGTTGCACACGAGCAAGTTTTTGGAAGAACGAAGAAGGAAATGGAATTCGTCAAAAAACGAAACCTTGATTTCCTGGCGCTCATCTCCCGAAGCTCCAAAAAAATTACAGTCTTCAGCTGATTACTCAAGGAAGATCATCTGGAAGAACGGTCTCTTCCTTCATCGAATGGCTCCGCATCTCGGAAACAAGGCGCCATCAATTTCTTTTATCGCTGGAATTTGTTATCTTAATTTTATCAAAAAAACCCAAGCAGGGAGAAAAAAGAAAATCAGTTTCAGATCGATCCATTTTCAAAGTGTTTTTGCCAAATTTGCAAACTCTATTTCAGCAATTATTTGCTATGACTGAATGAATTGTCGACATTTTTGCTTAAAAATGGTCCTCGTTTTTATCTCTCTGAGATGCACAGTATTAATTTCATCTTGGGAGCATTTAACATAAAAAGAAATGCAACTCAAAAACTCGCAGAAAGTTAATCGGACTGAAAGCATCTGAAGCTTCTTACTTTGGATGCATTTGATAATAAAACCATTTTTTCTGGAACACGGTCCACAACAGTGAGATAAAATAAGAGGACTTTTTTCGCATTAAAAATTGCTATTCAGTAATTTGTGCAAAAGTCCGCCCTCGGTCAGTTTATAAAAACGCATTTTGCTGGGAAATGATCCGCCCTAGAGCGATAAACGATCAGCATCTTTTTGCTTAGAAATGTTCGCAATTCAATTTGATTTTAAAAAATTACAAATTTTACAAAACCAAAAATTGCGCGCTCTATTTACGTAGAATTTTACAAGGAAGATTAGAATGGCCATACTGATCAGTCATCTCCAGCGGAAGCAGTTAAGACCTCGAAGAAAGTATTTATAGGAAAAACAGTTTTATTTATTTTAGAATACATCATAGTATGGAAAAGTTAAAGCTATTACATCGATACGCAATTCACAATGTATACTCTAGGACCTAAAGAAATGAAAATCACCCCATACTGACTGACTGACTGAAATCACTTGAAATTTAACTCGAAAAATATATGTGTATTTTCACTTGCTGGCACCATACGTTTGAATACAGTAAACGCAAAATACTAAGTGGCATAGCAATCAGGGTTAGAGACATGGACTTTTCAACATTGTGCACTGGACACTTCTTGTTAATGAACATTAACTCCAATACTACCAAGAGAACAACAAATATATACCTAAACTCGAAAGGAAAGTTATGCATAAACGAACTGAAAGTGAGGGCAATTTGGTTAGTAGTAAAGGCCCCCAGAAATGAGTCATACATAATATATAAAGGATTAAACGTGAATACTTGTAACTGAACTGAAAATATTCAAAACAGAATGCAGCGATGCTTCTTCTTCTTTTTCACTTGAAGGGCTGCACGGGTGGCGTTCTCAAAGACTTCCCTGACGCCCTCCTTGCTCTTGGCTGAGCACTCCAGATAGGCAAAAGCGTTGATTTTCTCGGCCATGGATCGGCCGTCCTGCGGCTTGACCGGCTCCTGTTTCATCTTTTTCAGCTCGTTGATCGTTGTTGGATCGGTGCGAAGATCCTTCTTGTTCCCAACCAATATAATGGGAACATTGGGGCAGAAGTGTTTCACTTCTGGGGTCCATTTTTCGGGGATGTTTTCGAGGGAGTCGGGCGAGTCGACTGAGAAGCACATTAGAATCACATCGGTGTCCGGGTAGGACAAGGGTCGGAGCCGGTCGTAGTCCTCTTGGCCGGCAGTATCCCAAAGGGCCAGCTCCACTTGCTTTCCATCCACTTCAATATCAGCGACATAGTTTTCGAAAACAGTCGGCACATACACTTCGGGGAACTGATCCTTGCTGAAAACGATCAGAAGGCACGTTTTTCCACAGGCTCCATCCCCAACAATCACCAGTTTTTTCCTAATAGCCGCCATCGGACCTACAAAACAGAAAAGTTAACGCCTATGTAGTGACTAACTAAAGATGGCGGATACATTTAATCAGGAAATCAGAGCGGGGATGGTTGCAGGACAGCAACGTTTCGTACCTTTAGCAAAGTCCTCCTGCTGGGACCAACAACAAAACATCCAGTTTAATTCAACTGGAATTTAATGTTCGTTGTCGCCTATTTCGACAGACTATTTCCACCAGATTAATCGCACTATATAAAATAAACAAAATCTATGACTATTGGAATTTCTTTTTGGGCGATGATGTCAGTGACGTTTTAGTTGTCAACACTGACAACCATCGACAATTTCCCACGATCTCTGTCTGAAACACTACGACCGCAAGCAAGTGGACGCGAGAAGGAACGTGATCGACTCGGCAGCCAAGCAGCGCTGTTGCAAACCGACATTGCCAATATTTACTTGTAGATTAATAAACAATTGTTTGTTTTATATTATTATTATTTTTTTTAACATTACACGGAATTGAAGTCTTATTTTGGTGAAACTCATTGATTGAAGTCTGAGTTTTAATAGCGAAAGCAAAACACGAAGTCAAGTTTAAATTGTCGGTGCTCTTTTTTAAACGCTTGTGACCGACAAAGATAGGCATACTTCAGCGGGGACTTTAAAATACCGACTGCCGTTAAATTAATTAAATATTTCCAGTTTGAAGATGGTGATATTGGCGATTAGTTCGATGTTATATGATGCGAGGCTTTTAGCTCTTCCGTGAATTCGTAAATATTAGATTATAATAATGTGATGCTCAGAACTGGAAGCTCCAAAAAATGCTTATAATCTTTATTGCTTTTGTCAAACTGCGCTCTCACGTTTAATAATTCGCATCTTCCAAATTAACTGAAGAACCAATTCGAAAATTTGACTACCTCTAGAAGAGAGTAGGTTTTATAGATGCTATAAGTTTCCTTGAAATAGTCAGAAAATCCCGATTTTTTGGAGTTGGTAAATAAGGGTCTCAAAATGAATGTTTTTACGCCAGTTTGTTAAAAAATTCGCATCTTCTAAACTGACGCCAGTAAAAATTTGAAAATTGCCCCATCTATAAAAGGCACTTGTTTTTACAGATAGGAAACATTTTTATCGAAATCTCCATGAATCCCTAATTTTGCCCGACAAAAATACCGGTCTCAAAATTGATGCTTTTGTTCAGCAGCGTTACGTTATAAACGAAAGCAAGTAGCAAATTGAAATTTTCACCATCTTTAAATACTATTTCGCTCTTCAGAAGTTAAAAGGTTTATAGAAATCGACCAAAATCCGGATTTTTTTATCTAAGTAAATACCGGTCAGATATTGGATGTTTTTTTCAAGTGCTCTGTTTCTTAAAAATTTGCATCTTCCAAACTAATACCAGCAACAATTTGAAATTTTTTCTGTTTTTAGCAGGCACTTGACTACAGATCCAGAACGTTTCATGCAAATCACTTTTAATCCTATTTTTTGCTAGTTTTGTACAAAACTACGCTTTCTCCTTAAAAAATTTGCCTCTTCAAAACTTAACTCTTAAAACGTAAGTAGCAATTTCATATTTTCACCATCTTCAGAGGACACTTGGGGCTACAAATTGAACTATTTTATATTCATTTTGCAACACCGAAACTAACACAAATACAATTTGAAAAGACAGAAACGAAATGTTCCATAAAAATCGTCCAAAACCGTAAATTGTTTTTCGAAGGTGGAAAAAATGCCCATCTTCGAAACGAAAGCAAGTAGCAAATTGGAGTTTTAAACATATATAGAAAACACTTGGCTCTTAAAATGATGAAAGTTTGATAAAAATCGCTCAGAATCCAGCAAGCAGCAATTTAACAATTTCCTCATCTGTAGAACACATTCTGATCTACTGATGCTGAAAGTTTAATCAAAATTGCAGGAAAAATTTTATCAAAATCGCCAGCTTTGTAACTGCCAGTCTCAAAATAGATGATACTACTCAAGTGCACTGTTGTTGCAYTTGTGCTGTGCACACAAGCTAAAAGTTTAATAAAAATGGTCCGAAATCCTGAATTTTCTAGCTTAGTCCATACCGACCTYAARTTGAATGTTTTTTTTTAACGGCACTTAAAAAGTCGCATTTGCCGAAATAATTAATGCCACTAACAATTTGGAAATTTTACCGTCTTCAGCAAGTACACACTTGACTCTATAGATAGAGAACTTTTCATGAAAATAACTTGTTATTCTAATTTTTGTCAGCTTGGTACACAACTCCGCTTTTTCCTAAAAAATTTGCATCTTTCATACTAAAGAACACACTTTGGTTTTCAAAAGCGAAAAGTTTGATAGAAATCGCTCAGCATCCTCAATTTGTCTAGCTTAGTAAATACCTACCGGTCCCTAATTGTACACTTTCTCAACTGCGCTGCCTCTTTTAAAAATTCGCATCTTTCAAACTAAGGCCAGTAAAAATTTGAACTTTTCACCATCTTTAGAGAACACGTGCATCTACAAATGCTGAATGTTTTATAGAAATCTGTGAGAATCCTCAACTTGTCCAGGTTAGTTAGTACCGCTCCCTAATTGTATGCGTTCTTCAAGTGCACTGCCTCCTTTAAAAAATCGCATCTTCTAACCTGAGGCCAGCAAAAATTTGAAATTTTTACCGGTCCGTTGGCTCTGCAAATGCTGAAAATGTTATACAAATCGCCCGGAATCGTGATATTTGCCAGCGTAATAAATGCCGATCATAAAATGGATGTTTTTACTCCAGTGAACTTTCAATTTAAAAAATTCTCATATTTCAAACTAAAGCAACTAACAATTTGAAACTTTCACCATATTTAGCAGACACTTTACTCTACATATCTATACGCTTGCGCAAATAGGAAGTCAAACAAAAAACTTAACAATTGTGTTTTCGCGTCAGTAAATAAAATGATACATTACTGCAGGCTTCAAACAGATAAGAAGGAATAAAAATAGTTACATCTTGCAAACTAAAGCAAATAGCAACTTGAAAACTATCATCTTTAGCAGATATTTGCCTCCACATTTGTGAACAATTTCATAAAAATCGCCTTATAATTTTTGCAGCTTAATAAATATCGATTTGAAAATAGATGTTTTAACTCAACTGGACCCTTTATTTTAATCAATTAGCAACTTTAAATTTTGACTGTATTTACGAGCCACTTGGTTCGATTGATTTGTAAAATTTCATAAAAATCGTCCTTAATTTTGCATTTTTGCCGACTTAGTAAAGAGCGATCTGAAAACAGATGTTGTACTCATCTGCGCTCTTTCCGTAAAAAAATGCATCTTCCAAACTAAAGCAAATAGTAATGTGGAAATTTCACAATTTGTGGAGCACTTTTGTTTCTACACATGCAGAATGTTTGATAAAAATCACCCATATCCTGATTTTTCCAAGCTTAGTAAATTCAAATCAATGCATAAACTTTTTACTCAACTGCGCTTTCCTGAAAAAATCCCATTTTCTACACTAAAATACGTAGTAGCATTTAGATATTTTCTGGCATCTTTAGAAAAGACTTGGTTTTACAGAAGCTAAAGGTTTCATAAAGAATCGCAAGAGAATCCTGCTGTTGGCCATTGGAGAATTTCACCATTTCTAGAAGACAATTGGGTTTTTGCCGGCTTAGTTGGCAAGTAATACATTTTTAAACTCAACTGCTCTTTTATTTATTAGCCTCTTTCAAGCTAACACAATTAGCAATTTGAAATTTTCACAGACGAMTTTTAGGAATGGTTAAAAATCTCGATTTAGCTATTGAAAAATTTTAGGAATGGTTAAGAGTCTCGATTTAGCTATTGAAAAATTTTAGAARTAGTTAAGAGTCTCGATTTAGCTATTGAAAAATTTTAGAAGTAGTTAAAAGTCTCGATTTAGCTATTGAAAAATTTTAGAAGTGGTTAAAAATATCGATTTAACTATTGAAAAATTTTAGAAATGGTTAACAATCTCGATTTAACTATTGAAAAATTTTAGAAATAATTAAAAATCTCGATTTAGCTATTGAAMAATTTTAGAAGTGGGTAAARATCTCGATTTAACTATTGAAAAATTTTAGAAATGGTTAAAAATCTCGAWTTAACTRTTGAAAAATTTTAGGTGGTTAAAGATCTCGATTTAACTATTGAAAAATTTTAGAAATGGTTAACAATCTCGATTTAACTATTGACAAATTTTAGAAATAATTAAAAATCTCGATTTAGCTATTGAAAAATTTTAGAAGTGGGTAAAAATCTCGATTTAACTATTGAAAAATTTTAGAAATGGTTAAAAATCTCGATTTAACTATTGAAAAATTTTAGAAATGGTTAAAAATCTCGATTTAGCTATTGAAAAATTTTAGAAATGGTTACAAATCTCGATTCAGCTATTGAAAAATTTTRGAAGTAGTTAAAGGACTCGATTTTARCTATTGAAAAATTTTAGAAGTAGTTAAAAATCTYGATTTTAGCTATTGAAAAATTTTAGMAGTAGTTAAAGATCTCGATTTTCACAATCTTTAACAATCTTGGATTTACAAATGCACAAAGTGTCATCAATGCCACYTTTTATCCTGATTTTTGCAAGCTTAGTAGATACCGATATCCAAATGGATGTTYTTAATCAACTGCGYTCTCTTTAAAAAAATCCGTCTTGAAAACTTAAGCTAGTAGCAATTTGARAATTTCCTAATCTTTAGWACAYCATTGGATCTACTGATGCTGAAATTTTGATAAAAATCGCACAAAATCTTGATTTTTGCCAGCTTTGTAAGTGCCAGTCCTAAAATGGATGTTTTTACTCAAGTACGCTGACTYCTTTAAAAATTCGSGTCTTCCAATCTAAGGCCAGGAAGAATTTGAAATTTTCACTATTTTTAAACTGTTTTATAGATATGGAAAATTTTATCGAAATCTCCATTAATTTTGAATTTTGCCGCCAAAAAATACCGATCTCAAAATTGATGCTTYTSTWCCGMAGCGCTTCTTTCGAAAATAAATCGTTTCATCCAAACTGAGGCGAGCRGCACTTCAAAATTTCGCTTACTTTTAGAAGACATGTGACTGTGAAGACTACTACAGAACGGTACGTAAAAATTGCAAATAATCTTAATTTTATTCAGTTTTTTACAATACTGCGYTCTTCTSTGAAAAAAAMCCCATCCTCGAAACGAACGCAAGCAAGTAGCAAATTKAAATTTTCACCATCTTTAGAGAACAAGTGGCTTTTCAGAAGTTAAAAGTTTTATAGAAATCGCCCAAAATTTTTCCAGCTTAGTCAATATCGGTCCCAAATTGAAAGTTTTTTCAACTGAGCTATTTCTTCAAAAATTCGCATTTTCCAAAATAATGCTAGTAACGGGTTGAAAAATTTACTGTCTGTGCAGCTGTGTTAGCAAGGAAATACCTAACTATAGATGCAGAACATTTCATAAAAATCACTTTTTATTCTATTTTTTTTTCAGCTTGGTTCAAAACTCCGTTTTTTCCTTAAAAAATTGCATCTTGCATACTAAAGCAAGTAGCAATTTTCACCATCTTTAGAGGAAACTTCGAGCTACAAAATGCGCCAATTTTAATATCTTAAAGATTTTGTATCACCGAAACCAACACAAATACATTTTTTTTCAAAAGACAGAAACTAAAGGTTTCCTTAAAAATCTCCCAGAATCGTAATTATTTGTTCGAAGTTGGAAAAATCTCCATCTTTGAAACAAAAGCAAGCAACGAATTGAAATTTTTACCATTTATAGAAGACACTTGGCTCTTCCAACGCGGAAAGTTTTATAGAATTCGCTCAGAATCCTCAATTTGTCCAGCTTAGTAAATACCTACCCGTTCCTAATTGTAAGCTTCCCTCGGCTGCGCTGCCTCTTTTAAAAATTCGCATCTTTCAAACTAAAGATAGTAAAAATTTTAAATTTTCACCATCTTTAGCAGACCGTTAACGCTACAAATGCTGGAAATTTCATAGAATTGTGAAACCCCGGAATTGTGATTTTTGCCAGCCTAATAAATGCCGACTACAAAATGAATGTTTTTACTCGATTTAACCCTCTATTTAAAAACCCTCCATATTCCAAACCAGACCAACTAACAATTTGAAACTTTGTGGTTGAATTGTGCACGCTTTTTGAGCCTGAACTGTAGCTTAATCTCCACAATCACACTCAAAAATATGAAATTTTCCTTTTTACGATTTCGATTTTATTGCACTTTTCCTTGGACTATGAACCAAAAAAGACCCAAAACTGTTCAATTTAAGTATATATTTTATACAGTCGTCTACGAAATCTAGTTCTTAGGACTATTCTACCTGCAATTCCATATAAGACAGATAGATCTAAACAATTATACACCAGAAAGTTTAGTGAGCGTGATCCAGTACAATTCCTTAGCCCAACTCACCCTCAATGTATATTAAAGTATAAAACTGTATATAAAACTTAAACGTAAATCTCAATCGCTAGTACATTAGTTATTTGTCATTTACATAAGAAACGCGAAACAAGTATTATTTTCATTATGTATTACTGTTGATTAGGAAGCTTCGGTAAAGTACATAAGGATACATGGCTACATAAGCTTATACGAAATAACATGTATTTACATTTCGGGTTAAAATGCCCTCAAAGTACAAGTTGCTTTTTAAAAAACCGTTGATATACAGTGTGCGAAATTTTGTGTGCAATGTTCTAGTGCCTAAATTAGAGGGTTTTCTATCGTTTTTTAATTACAGAAAACGTCTCACTTTAAGAAGAACAGGCAATTTAAAAAAATGTTCAAACCCTCCCAGTTTGGAGAAAATGCGCAATAACACACTTTTTACAAGGGTTGAATGCAAACAAATCACTGTGCTTGCACGTCTCTTGATATGATTCGAGATATGGATTTTCCGCGTTTAATCAGTCTAGACTTAAATAGCTATCAAAATGACTCACATTATGAACAATATCATCGTTGGTTTAAATCGTGCAATGATCGACGACTTCGATTTCAGCAAGCAATAAATTACTTTACACAAATGAGACAGTTAGTGATTACACAGGACTACCGTTACACGTTGACTTACCAATAAAAAAATATAAATCTAATCAAGCTTTGGTATATATGGATTGATCGGTGACAATCTAGATGAGATTTTAGGAAGTTTTGAGAGATTGAGTCCCGGGCATCTCAGAGCCTTGAGGACTCACGTAAAGTCTCTTGATACCATTCACAGTTGCCTTGATTATGGTGCCAGCTCTTTACTGGCACTCTGAATTATTGCTGAAGAACGTGAAGTGTAATTGTTAAGGGGGCACATAGGGCGGCGGCTTCCGATAGGTGGGGGTAGGTTTCGGTCGGCTTTGCCGCCCATTGTCCTGAGTGCGAGTGAACGGTGGTGGGGGCTGATACGGCTCTGAGTCCTCCAGCTTCACTGAGCCACTTTTGCTGTACTCGGGCGGCGCTAGCGGCGGCTTCTCGTCTTTGAGGATAACTGGCGCTTTGGTCCCGGGCTCTGGCTTTTCCTCAAGTTCCTCCTGGAAAATCACCGGGATGCCTGGAAGAGTCAACGCCGGTGTATCGGGGTTGGAACAATTGCCCAGTTAGGCTTACCTTTGTTGCCGTATGACTGTCTCCCGTCCTCCTCCACGTTCATTTTGCCCATTCTCCGCTTCCGATAGAGGAGACAGGCGGCCACGAAGGCCACAAAGAGCATGATGGAGATGATGATGATGGGAAGCACCAGGGTGAGCATGATGTCGTTGTCTGCTTGCGGCTGAGGAGTCTTCTCTGACGGCGCCTGCACTTCGGGAGTCGGAAGAACCGGCGGCGGCTTAGATTTGCAGTTGCCTGCAGGACAAGACTTTAAACCCACAAAGTCACGGCAATTTCAAAACTTACCGATGTGGTGAACCTTGATGGTGGATATGGTGAACTCCGGTCCCATGATCCGGTGCACGGTGCTTGAAATGCTTCGGGAGTCGCTATGTAGCAGATACTCCAGCTGTTTGATTTCCTTATGAGGACAAACGTCTACAGGTAACGACTTGTTGAACCAGTAGACCACGGTGGAGTCCAGGTGGGAGTCGCGTTTAGCGACAAACGGTCGGAAGTGGAAGTTGCCGGGCGTGGGCTCTTTGAAGATTTCCTAACAAAACATTCCTGTTTACTTCGAGAGTTCAGTTAGAAACGGTAGATTATTTCCCAAACTAAGAGAGCGAGAGCAATATGAAAATTGAAAGGTTCTTTCCAGTCTATTTGCATTAAGAAAAATTTAGTATACAGGATCAGTCGAAAAGCTGCGACAAAGCGAAGTTCCTTTTTCTGAAATGGAACACCCTGTGCATTAGTCAATGATTGAATTTTCCTCGACATTCTAAGGAAAAGTCGTAGACACATTCGATGTAAATTTAACCGTTTTGATGAAATCGGGTTGTTAAAATTTTGAGTGTCTACACCTAATTTTTTGTGTTTTAGTTGAAGTGAGGCCTCCGTAAGACCGTATCCGTGACAAAATCCACACGATGACTCAGGAAAAGTTCAGCAACTACTTACTTAGTTTTCTACTTATTACGCACAATACTAAACGCATTCCCCTCGTAGCGCTTTCGGGCAAAGTCAAGGATATGTGGCCGTCGATGTCACAGCGGGAGCAACAAGGACAGTGATATAAAAATCAGTGTATCATCGTTGCACCAGCTTCATATACCAGGGTTGAACAAAATGAAATGTGTATCAGACACCCGAAAAAAGAGTCTGAATTTCCTTCTCTTCTCTCACAAATTTTAATAACCCCGGATGGGCTTTCAAAAATAGTATTACGACTTGTTGGATATTTTCAACCGCTTTGAAAAAATCCATTTTTAAAATGTGAAAAGTTTTACCAAAAAACTCTTAAGTGGAAAACAACAGAAATAATGAATGTTGAAAACTTGTCTAAAAAATTTCCAGACGCAAAATTCTTCCGGTTTCCAATCCCACGTTTCGTTTGGCGTCGCTTCAAAACCTGAAATGAGACTTAAGAAAAAAAAAGTCGATTCGAAGCCACGTTTAAGCTCTTTTGATCTCAATTTCCAGCTGAAGCTTTCATTTGATGTGGCTTCCAGACTTAAGTCAAAAAAAGTCCACTTGAAGCCGATTTTAAAAAAACTCCAAGGGCGAAATTCTCTCGGATTCAAATTTCACCGTTCACTTTCCTTAGCTTCAAGCGGTTCAAGGTTTTGTTTTAAGAGTCTTTAAAAAGGGTTCAAACCCAAATTTATTTCGGTTTTCAGCTCCACCTTTCATCACCCATCCTTCATTTGGCAATACTTCAATGTTTGAAATTGGACTTTGGAGAGAAAAATGCTTGTTTCGAGTTTAAAAAGACTTCAAACGCAAAATTATGTCCGTTTTGAGCTTCACCTTTCATTTGTGGCTTTAATGTCGTACACGAGAGTTTAGTAAGAAAGTTGTGAAAGTATTTGGAAAAATTCTTTTGAATTTCAGTTAGTAATTGAAGACTTTCTTCTCTCCTCTCTCATCTTCTTAGATACTAGAGAATTCTTCAAATAAACCTTATTCGATATTTTCCGCCGCAACAAAAAATATCATTAAAACGAGAAAAATAAGCAAAACAGCACGCGAATAAGAAAATAGAGTTCACTCTTTCAAACCGAATCCAATCAACAAAAATTGTTTCAAATTGAAAAAATTAAAGAAAAACTTTTTTTGAAGTTTAAACAAAAGTGAACAATCACAAAGACAATAGAAGTGAAAAAACGAATTTCTGAGCCTCGGTAACACTGCGATGAGCGTCATTTCGGTTGTTGCCGCCCTTTGAGTTAATGTGTTCATGAGTTATAACTCAATCATTAACCTGTTAATGAGTTATAACTCAATCGATAAAATCGTGAAATTTGTTCCTGTGAAAAAGTGCAGAAAAGACAGCCGCACGTAAATGTGTGTCAATGGTTTTATTGATTACTAATTATAACCAAACGGTGGCCGCGGTTGTGGTGACTTCCGTTGCTTATTTTCGTTCAATTTTTCCTTTTGCTGTATTTGTTTTACACTTTATTAGTCGTTAGTATTAGATCTAGCACACATTTAGAGCATGGATGTTTTCCTACCATGAGCTTCTCCACAAACTTCCGCTGCAACCCGGCGTTACTCGAGAAAGTATCAAAGGGCAGGCCGATGGTCATGCTGAACTCCACATTGTAGGGCCGCTTGGCTGCAGGCCGCACGTCTACAATCAGACTATCCTTGCCCTCCATCCCTCCAGAGTCGATGCAGATCAGGTAGTATTCCGTAATGCCCGCCTTTTGAGGGATCCCGTAGAACTCGCGATTTTTGTTGTCGAACTGCAGCCAACTAGTGGCAGGAATCGGCGTGCGATCCGCCGTTAGTAGAGTGATGTTCAAGGTCTGCGGATCCACATCTTCGGGATCGTAGAAGGTGTCCTGCAACAGGTGGAAATCACTCGAGAGTGCTCTACAGCCAACAAAATCCGTTGCTTACGTCTTGCACTTTGTAGACTAGCAGCTCCCCCAACGTGGCGTTGACTGTGTCGATGGGATTGCGCAGAATTGGGGGGAAATTGGTAGGGAGACTAACTGGGGCGGCAGGAGTCGCTGGGGCGGCAGGAGTAACGGGGGCTGGCTGCTGTTTGCAGGTCGTCAAGTCGTAGCTGAGCACCTTGGTGGCTCTCAGGCTGGGAGCTAGCGTGTAGCTGAGCTCCAATGAAGGGTCCCCCCGGTCGTTATCAGCCAGCATCTAACAAAGCGGGGTTGTACATATTGAAAGTGAATATAAAAAAAATTTGTATATGTTTAAGACCACACGCTAGAAGAGCCGCCCACCTCGTACAGGCTGAGAATTTCCTGCCGGGGACAGTAATTGGTGGGCAAGGAGTCGTTGGACCATGCAAACACCACAGGATCACTCGTATGGTTGATGTAGCGGACAGTGATTTCCGACATATTGGTGTTGTAGAGCCTGCCGAGAGCTCGCAGAACCTTCAGGGACCAGTCCACATAGTGGGGGTATTCCTGGAGCTTTTCGATGCGCAAATGCACTGCAAACTCATGGTTTACCACTCGGTCGAGCCGGTGCTGCTGAACCTGCACAGTCAGCTGATCCTGCTCATAGGCCCCGTCTTTGTCCGTAGCCCGGACGATGTAATCCCAATGCGAAGCGTCATCTGGCAAAGGCCTAGAAGACGCAAAACCTTAAAAAATCACAATTTAAAGCGAAAATAGTAGAACACTCACAGCCCATACAGCTCCCTACGGGCTGGATTGAACTGCAACCAGGAGGATTTGGGGATGGGCTGTCCATTGCTATCCAAAACCTGGAAAGTCAGGTTGTATCCATCCTCAGCGTCCCTGAAGGTGTTTTTGGGGATCTCCAAGCGGAAAATCTTTCCAGCAATCACTTGCGAGTGCTGCAGCCGGTTCTCAATGTAGGGCTTGGTGTTTTTGGGCTCTGGAACAAACCGCACCGTTGCCTCCGTCGTTTCTTGGACGAAAACTTCTTGGGTTGTGCTGGGGGCGTGGCGAGGGGTGGTGGCTCTGCTCTCCTCTTGCTCAGTGGTAGGATTCTCAGTGTTTGGCGGCTCTTCACGAATCGATATCGCCTCCGTGGTGGCCTCGGAGGTGCTGGGGACTGCGTAGGATGTGCTAGATGGAGGCGGACTTTCTGGCCTAGAGGTGGTAGTAGTGGAGGTAGTGGTGGTAGTGCTGGTGGTAGTGGTGGAGGTCGTAGTAGTGGAAGCCGCGCCCTCTTCAGGCGGCGCGGTGTCTGGCACAGAGTAAATGGGCGGTTCAGCGTCCACAATGATCTCGGAAGTAGTGGGGGCCTCTGGGGTGGAGGAGTAGACAGCGGTGGAGGCATGCAGGACCGATGTTGCCACCTCTGCATCTTCTAAATCAACGAGTTTTCTCTTTAAACTTGAGGGAAAAATTATTGATCGATATAGAGTCGAAAGCATTGCCAGCATTACTGTTTTCGTAATAGATTTTTCTTTGAGTGCCTGTTCAGTCATTTTTCTTGCGTCTCTTAGAAGAGCAGAATAAAAAAAAGTCAAAAGAACTTTAAACATTTCTTAAAAATCGCCTGCAGATGACAAAATCAAAACTTTATTCACATGTAGAAGGCACGTTGCCAGACAAAACGCACTCGAAAGTCTGGTTTCTGAGAAAATAAATGTCACACTGAGGCTGCATGAACTGCCACAAACTTCTGTCGCAAATTTAAAAATCTTGAAAATAGCCTGAAGATGACTCAAATTCGAGACTCTCCCCTTTATAACACGCACTCTACTCAACAAAATTAATTTAAAGTTTAACCGTAACTGAAGTAGTTTCGGAGGAAATAACTGGGAAACTCGAAATTTTTTATAAATTTGTGAAAATTCCCTGAGGATGAGTCAAAATCACAACCTTTTCTACTAATAGAACATGCCTTGCCCTACGATATGTATGCAAAGAGGACACTCCAACTTTTCTAAAAATTGAGAAGGCAACTTCCAAACGTAAGCGAGTAAAAGCAACTTCAACAATTCAACGCACATTCAAAATTTTTTCTAAAATTGCCTGAAAATGTCTCAAAATCGAAGCTACTTCCACATATAGAACTCATTCTAATCTACAAAACGCACTCAAAAGTAACTGCAGCCTAATTCAAGTTTCTGAGAAAATAAATGCCAATCTGAGATCTGTATCAACAACATCGAAACTCTATCGCATAATGGAAAAATCTGGAAAATGACCTGATGATGAGTCAAAATCGAAATTTTTCTCACTTATAAAACGCAAAAACGCGTCTTCTTCAAAATGCATGCAAAAGTGAAGCCTGGATTGACTATTTTCTGAGAAACTAATTGTGAAACTCCGTGCTGCATAGAGAACCACAAAGTACAAGCAAAATTAAAAAAAAAATAGGGAAAAACCCATGAAGATAAGTAAAAATGGATGCGTTCTTCACTAACAGATCACATCCTTAGAAAACACACCCAAAATTTCTCAGCTTGCAAGTTACAGAGTAAAGAAATGTTAAACTCCTATCGGGGAAAACCCCCACGGAAACCAGACGCGATTTTCAAAAAATCTCGAAAATTGCCTGGAGATGTCTGAAAATCGAAACTTTTGCCTTTTGTAGAAAGGACATTTCCCTACAAAATGCATAGAAAAGCAACTCGCTCACTTTGTCAGTTTGTGCATAAATAAATGCCAAGCTCCCGCCAGCAAAACAACCTGGGTAACCAAACGCAATTCTGCAAAATTGTCGATAATTTCCTAATGATAAATTTCAGAACTTTGCTAGCTTATAGAAGGGACTTTGCCCTCACACAACACACCAAAAATTACCTTTCCCACATTTCAACTTACAGAGGAAAGAAATGTAAAAACTCTCACAAAAACCAAACGCGATTTTGAAAGACTTTCAAAAATTGCCTGATGATAACTAAAAATTGAAACATTTGGCGCTTGTAAAACCGACTTTTCACTGCAAAATACATATAAAAGCGATGCTCTGGGTTTATTACGTTTTTCAAGAAAAAAATATCAAACTTTGGCCTGCAAATACAACCTCAGAAACTCAAAACGCAAATTTGCGTTTTGTTTCACAAGTAGTGAAAATTTGCCTGTAGATGACAAAAAATCTAAAATCGGTTAGCTTATCTAAAGGACTCTGTTCTCATAAAACACATTCAAAAAGTTCCCATTTCGAAAGTTACAGAGAAACAAATGCTGAATTCTTAACAAACACCCGACGCACTCTGAAAAATCTTGCAAATTACCTGATGATTATTGAAATTATAAACTTTTGCCACTTGCAAGAAATGCTTTGGACTGCAAAATACGTACAAAAACCATGCTCTTGGTTGTATAGTTTTTGAATAAATAAATGCAAGATTCCGGTCTGCAAGAACAATTTCGTAAACTAAAAGCAATTTTGAAAAGTTGTAAAAAATTTCCTGTAGATGACTAAAAATTTAAACTTCGTCCACTTATAAAAAGAACTCGCGTTCACAAAACGCATCAAAATTTGTTTTTTTCGCGTCGCAAGTTACAGAGGAAAGAAATGCTAAACTCTGGCCTGCAGAAACCATCACGAAAACTAGATGGGATTTTAAAAAATTCTTGAGAATTGCCTGAGAATGACTTAAAATCGAAACATTTTCCACTTGTAGACGAGACTTTGCCCTATAAACTTAATACAAAAGTGGCCCTCTAACTTTGCAGCTTCCGGAATCAAATAAAGGTTAATATATGCGGAGCGTAGTTTGACTATAAGCAAAAGCAGCATGCAGCTTAATATTAAAGAGAAAATGTTTAATGAGGACTTAAAATCTGAACCTTTAGGACTTTGGGAAAAAACTTTTCCCTGCAACATACATACAAAAGCAAGTCACTCGGTTCACTAGTCTCAAAATAAGTAAATGCCAAACTTCGCCCTGTAAAACCATCCTCGTGACGTGAACCGCAATTTTGCAAAATTGTGGAAAATTTCCTGATGATGACTAAAATTGACAACTTTGTGCCGTTTTAGAAGGGAATTTGATCTTGAAAGCGCATGAAAATTAACTTTCTCACTGGGCAAGTTACAGAGAAAATATATGCTAGAACCCGACCTGCGAACACCATCAAAAACCTGACGAAATTTTTAAAAATTCTTGAAAATTTCTTGATGATGATATCAAATCGAAACTTTTGAGATAAGTAGAAAAGCCCTTGCCCCATAAAATGCAATCAAAGGTTCCTCTCTACCTTCGTTAGATCCTGAATAAATAAATGCAAAATCCTGGCCAGCAAAGCAACATGATGATAACTAAAATTGGAAACTTTGTTCACTTATAGATGGGATTTTCCTCTCTAAAACGCATCCTAACTCGACTTTGTCATTTTGCATGTTACGGAGAAAACAAATGCTGAAATACGGCATACAAAAACCCCCACCGATCACCGGACGCAATTTTGACAAATTATTCAAAATTGCCTGATGATGACAGTAATTCGAAACTTGTGAGGGGAGTAGAAAAGACCTTGCCCTATAAAATGCATGCAAAGGTACTTCTCTACCTTTGTTTGTTCCTGAATAAATAAATGATAATTGTCGGCCTGCAGAGTCACTTCGCAAACCAAACGCGCTTTTGAAAAATTGTGGAAAATTTCCTGATCATGACTAAAATTAGAAACTTGGTCCACTTATAGATGGGATTTTGGTCCCCAACATGCATCCAAACTTGACTTTCTCACTTAGCAAGTGACGGAGAAAATAAATGCTGAAATTCGCTCTGCAGTAACCCACACCAAAAATTTGACGCAATTTAAAACAATTCTTGAAAATTACCTGAGGATGACTGAGAATCGAAACTTTTGTGACCTGTAGAAAAGCCCTTGCCCTATATAATGTAAGCAGAGGTACCTCTCTACCATCGTTAGTTCCTAAATAAATAATGCAAAATCCTGGCCAGCTAAACAACCTCGTAAACCAAGTGCAATTTTGCAAAATTGTCGAAAATCTCCCGATGATGACTAAAATTGGAAACTTTGTTCACTTATAGATGGGATTTTGCTCTCTAAAAGGCATCTTAACTTGACTTTGTCATTTCGGAAGTTACGGAGAAAACAAATGCTGAATTCCAGCCTACAAAAAATCCCACCAAAAACCTGAATCAATTTCGAAAAATTATTAAAAATTGCCTGATGATGACAGTAATTCGAAACTTGTGAGGCGAATAGAAAAGGCCCTGCCCTATAAAAAGCATGCAAAGGTACCTCTCTACCTTTGTTAGTTCGTGAATAAATAAATTATAAGTGCCGGCCAGCAAAGCATCTTCGCAAACCAAACTCGATTTTGAAAAACTATGGAAAATTTCTTGATCATGACTAAAATTGGAAGCTTTGTGCACTTATAGATAGGATTTTGCTTCCTAAAATGCATCCTAGCTTGACTGTCTCACTTCGCAAGTTACGGTGAAAATAAATGCTGCAATTCGCTCTGCAGTAACCCACACCAAAAACTTGACGCAACTTAAAAAAATTCCTGAAAATGTTCCTGATGATGACCGAAAATCGAAACTTTTGACACCTGTAGAAAGGACCTCGGCCTACAAAATGCATACAAAACCACCTTCCTTCCTTCGTTAGTTCCTGAATACCTGAATACACTGATGTCACATTCCGGTCAGCATTCCTTAATGGTGATGATTAAAATTTGAAATATTACTAAATTATAGAAGGCCCTTTTGCTCGCTAACAGCTTCCAAAAGTGACTTTCTCACATTGCAAGTCAAAGTTTTTTACTTTGACTAAGTGCTAAAACGGGCCTGCAAAAGATTCAAACTGCAATCAATCGAAATTTTGCAAAATTACCTGATGATGACTGAAAATCGAAACTTGGTCTACTAATAGAGGACATCTTGCCCCACAGAAAGCATAAAAAATTGTCTTTCTCACTTAGCAAGTTACAAAGGAACTAAATGCTAAACTCCTGCCCGCAAAAACCAGACGAGATTGCGAAAAACTCTTGAAGATTGTCTGATGACGCCTGACTATCAAAATAGTAAATTTGCACTGATGGAGCAGACGCTGCCCTATTAAATGCATAGAAAAAACTGGCTAGATCTATTGATTTCTGAGGCAAAAAGTGTGAAACTTCGGTCTGCTTCAATAACAACACCATCCAAACACTACCTTGAAAGTTTCTTGAAAAACAACTGAAGATGACTTGAAATCGAAACGTTTTCCCACTTATAAAAGACAACTTGCCCAAATATAAATTGCTTAGCCCCTGATAAATAACTGCCTGCAGCAATAAATATGTCAGGAATGTAGTTTGCGCGTGTAATAGTTTGCGAACAAAACGTGAGAAAAACTGCTGCTTTTTGCGTCATTAGACCGTTGCCGGCAGGAATTTAGCTCTAACGTTTCCCTGGCACGCAGGGCCATCATCTTCAGAGAAGTGAACGCGTCAAAAGCTCACGCTGCGTCTACAGTTCAAACAACGTTTCATCAGAGTATTGAGTAACAAACTAATGAAAAGTACCGACTTTGCCAGTTGAAACAACCGCCAATTGCTGCAATACCTTCAATATCGACTTCCTGCGTTGTCGGGACCATTTCCACAGGTGTGAAGACCGGCTTATTGAACATCTGGCGGGAAACTTCGGGAACGATAGTTTCGCTCTCAATGGCCTCATCCTCAGTGTCGTCGTCGTCCTCATCGTCGTCATAGTTCTGATCATAGTCGTAGGTGACATCGAAATCATCACTTGGCTTGAGGATGTCGATCCGTGTGGGACCTGAACTCTTAGGTGGTTCTGTAGGCAATGATGGTTGGGTGATTGTTCTCGATTGCTCTGGAAGCGCCTCTTCTATTGGCTGCAAACAAAACACCGACTCATTATGGAAGAGCTGTTGCTTTTGTGTCTGTGGAGGCTACGGGTAGTTCAGTTTTGGAAGAAGCTCAGAAATGTCTGAGCAGCCGCTTCGAGAACTGTTTGAAATTGGTGGAATATCGCAGAAAATTATTAGCTTTAAAAAGTTGGAAGCAACTTGTTAAAATGCCGCAATAGTCGTTTGATTTTCTAAAACACTTGAGATAGAAACCTTTTTACCTCCCAATTTATTCCATTACTAGCAAATATTTAAATGATATTGAAAATCTAAACTTAAAACAAAGTCGACGTTGTCAAACAGTTTAAGTTATCCGAAGCCACGTTTCTTATACCAACATTTCGAATCACTTACCAAGACCGGTTCAGACTGACCCTCAGTGACTTTGGGCTCACCATGATGATGGCGATGAGGATGGGTGGTGGTGGACGCAGCGGTTGTCGTTGACGTGGTAGAAGTCCTGGCAACAGTGGTGCTGGGAAAAGTGACTGGCTTGCTGGATGTGGGCGGATTGGCTTCAACGTCGCCCAGATCATCTTCATCGTATTCTTCATTGTAATCGTCATCATAGTCTTGGTAGTAGTCGTTGTCGTAGTCTCCGCTACCTGAAATCGCCCAAAACCTCCGCATTTGCCGACTGTTTCAAACGGCCAGCTGAAACCCACCAAAGTTATCAGTGGCCTCCCTTCGGTTGCGCAAAATCGGCTTGGTTTCAGTCTTAACTCTCCATCCAATCAGCGGCAGTCTGAGCACTTCTGCTATGGTGCCGTCTCTGGCCTGTTGCTTCAAGTTGTGGATCAGAAGCGCTGTGGATTCCCACAGCCGCCCATCGCAACCCACTGGCACCTCCAGGCTGGATCCTGACTTTCTTCCAATTCTGGTCTGGATGTTTCCTGGACCCGCCAGAACCACTGCACTGTCCGTAATATCATCGTTGCCCGATTGAAGCTTGAACGTGAAGGCACTCTGGAATATCCAGGATTAGTGGAAATTTTCCAATAATTCCTTGTTCCATCGCTTACTTGCGGAAGACTGAGGAACTTGGCAATGTTGTTGATGGCGACAACTCGCTGTTTGGGCTTGATGGCGTGCAGATGCCTGTCCAGCAGTAGTGTGAGGACGGTGTTGTCTTCCTCTGGCTTGCAGCTCGGAGTTGCCTCCGGGGATTCTTCCAGAACTCTCAGCTTCAGGATTTCAGAGGCCGTTTCCTCTCCCAGAGTGGTCACCTTGAGGTGCAAAGTGCCCTCGTCGCCAGGCAGTGGGACTCCCCAAAACCAGCCAGTGTGCTTGTTGAAAACCAGCCAGGAGGGCACGGACTTAGAATTCTGCGCTTTGGCCTGGAAAAGCTCTGTTTGTTCGGGAAAACGTCCCACGTTTCGCCCTGAATTTATTGGTTCTTACCACAAAGCCACGTGTGGATTTTCCATGCTGCACTGCATAGTGGAAAACTTTGCCCACAACAGCCGTTTGGACATTGTTTGGATAGTACTGAGGCCTGATTGGTGCCATCAGGGCTTCGTGCATTTCTTCGGGCGTATCGAACGTGAAACCATCTTCCTGCGCCTGAACGGAAAACACCAACAGGATGGAAAAGAGCAGGGATGACTGAAAGCGGGAAGTCATCCTGGATCTGGTTGGCTTTCGGGTCACGCTTTCATAGTGTCTGGAAAGAATTAAGGAAATTAGGCACAAGGTTGCCAGAACAACTTGTTTTTTTGGTAATAAATTTGATAAAATTCTCGTAACAAAATAAGTAATGTTTGAGTGTTTACTCGGTAGTTTTTCTCGGGTCTTTAGCAGAGCATAATCGAGACAAATCAAAAGTCCACTCAAAAACTTCTGTACTGTTCTGTTCTTCAAAAAAATTTATTTGCAAACGTCTTGAAAATAGCCTGATAACGGTACAAAATTAAAGTTTTCTTAGTTAAAAGATGGACTGTTCCCTAGAAAATAACTGTGAAACTCCGGCCTGCATAAAGGAGWAGAAAATACCAACAACATTGCAAAAAAACACCTGAAAATTCATTGCGGATGAGTGAAAATTGAGACGTTATCCACCTATAGAACATACTTTGCTCTACGAAACTTGGAGGGCGATAACTTTTTAGTTTGGCAAGTTTCCGAGCAAATAAATGTCACACTATAACCCACTTAAATGCCCGTAAAAATCACATCCAACTTTGAAAAATTTCTGAAAGTTGCCTGAAGATGGCGATTGAAAATCGAAACGTTTCCGACTTCAGAGCATAGCTTGTCCTCCAATTATTTGCAAGGGCTATTTTCTCACTTTGTTAGTTCCGGAGTAAATAAATTCCAAACGCCAGTTTGCAAAAATAACTCTTTAAACCAAATGCAGTTTTGCAAAAATGTCAAAAATTACCTGATGATGATCGAAAATTGAAACTTTGTTGCCTTATATAAGAGGCATTGCCCCATGAAATATTTCCAAAATTGACTTTCTTACTTCCCAAGTACAAATGTCATATAATATTGACTCTCTGGCTTTAACTTCCTAATGAAATAATGAATAATAAATGTTAAACTACAACCTGCTGAAATATCCGCAAAAACAGTTTGCAACTTTCAAAAATCGCCGACTTAAAACCGAAACTTATGGCACTTTAGGCACAGATTTAACTCTGCAAAAGTACATACAAAAGCGACTCTCTCGCTTTGGTACTTTTTAAATCAATTAATGCCAAACTCCCGCCTGCAAAAACAATCTCTCTAACCAAATGCAATTTGGCAAAATTCTCAAAAATTGGCTGATGATGCAAACACCGAAACTGTGTCCACTTATAGAAGGAACTTTGCCCCATAAAATGCACCAGAAACCGGCGTTTTCACTTGGGAAGTTAGACTGAAAATAAATGCTAAACTTTGGCCTGCAAAAACCCCTGAGAATACCAAACACGATTTTTAAAAATTCTTGAAAATCGGCCGATGATGGCTGAAATCCGAAACTTTGTTCAGTTGCAGAAGGAACTTTGCCCCATAAAATACATTCGAAACTGACTTTCGCACTTGAGATGTTACACAGAAAATAAATGCTAAACTCCTGCGTACAAAGACATCCAGGAAAACCAGACGCGATTTTGAGAAGTTATTGGAAATCGTCTGATGATGACTGAATTGAAGCGTTCTCAACTTACAAACAGACGTTCCTCAAAAGGTGATTCTCTAAATTTGCAAGTTGCTAAGCAAATAAGTGTGAAACTACGATCTGCAAAACCAACATCGTTAGCCAAACGCAAATTTGTAAAAAATTGCCTGAGGATGACTGAAAGTCGAAACTTGGTTAGCGTGTAAAAAATACTTTGGCATGATAGCAAAATTAATCCAAAATTGATAAACTCACTTCGCAAGTTACAGAGCAATTAATTGCTGAACTCTAACAATTAGACACAGTGAAAGTTTTACCTGCTGAAAGACATTAAATGTTAAAACATTTTCTGCTAAAGTCTAGGAAGTAACCCACACCTGATAAATAGAGCGTACTTTTTTGCATCAAATGCCACTGAAAGCATCTTTCGATCGTTTCTGGTTTAGCAGAAATCAATTTTTATTTGGAGTCTTGCATATTCTACTAAACGACACTAATATTCAAACATTCTCCAAAAAATCCCCAAAATCGCCTTAAAATTACTAATCGCCCAGTAGATAAAGTGACTCTTTCTCTATCAAAAATCAGTAGGTGCATGTTTCTGTCTCTTCCGGTGCGCCAGTAATCAATTTTTATTTAGAGGCTGGTAAATCATCTCTACTAAACGACACTAGTTTTAAAAAATTGGCCTCAAAATAACCAAAATTGCCTTATGCTTCAATACTTGCGCGCTAGATAGAGCGGGCTTTTCTCTATCCAACGCCAGTGAGCTCATGTTTCTAGTACATCTGGTTTTCCAGCAGTCAATTTTTAATTAGAAGTTTGGAAATCGTCTCTTGAAAGACAGAAATATTTAGAAATTCCCGAAAGCAAAATGACCTACCAGAAGACGCAAATTTTTTAACTTTTGTCAAAAATATCTGTGAAAGTTTCAGAATAGCAACTTGCAAAAGCCACCAAGGCCATGTTGTCATATTTCATGATTTTTCAGCAACCTGTGTAATTACAATCAGAAAAATTCGTCTCGTTCGGTAGTTAAAGATTTTTCCTTAAATGTCCGCCATTGGCGGGTTTTTGGCTCATATTTGGAAGTTACTGAAAAAGAAGCTTCAACTCCGATTAAAGCCAAAATTTGAATATTTGTAGCTCAATAAATCAGTTACACCGCATGTGATTACAGTCTGGAAACTTCCTTTACTTTGGAAGTTGATTTTTTCAGTAGTAAAAATCGTTTTTTTTGCTCATGGTTGGAAGTTGCTGTGAACTCTTTGCTTGCTGTGAACTACTTTGCCCAATTGTAGCTCAAACTATCTGCTATAATTTGTGCAATTTCAATCAGAAAACTTCTTTTTGCTTTGGAGTTTTTTGGCTCATCTTTGGAAATTGCTGAAAAATCAGCTTTGACTCCGAATGAAGCCAACCACTTTCAACTATTAAATACCAGTTTTCTCTATCAAATTTCACTGGTTGCGTGTTTTGATCTCTTCTGGTTTACGAGTACTCCATTTTTATTTATAGGCTTGCATAGCCGCTACTCTACTATTAAACACAGTACTATTTTAAAATGTTCTCCAAAATCCCTAACATGGCCTCGCATTTAAAAATCACCCAGTATATAGAGCACTTTTCTGAAACAAATGGCACTGGACGCATGTTTCCATCCCTCCTGGTTTCACACGAATGCAATTTTACTTATATGTTTGCAAAACTTCTAGCCACTAAGCGATATTAGAACACGCTGATTTTCAAAAATTGGCCAAAAACTCTCGCATAATAGTTTCAAGTTGAAACTCGCACAGTTTATAAATAACATTTTTGCCCATCAAATACCGTGGAGGATATGGTTGTGCCTCGTCTTGTTCTACAGTATTCGATACAATTTTGAGACTTTCGGACGTTGTTCCTACCCAGACACGAATATTTAAAAAATTGTAAAAAATCCTCCATTACGCCCATGAACTTGCAGTTTTCTCGGTACATAGAGTGCCTGGTTCTCTATCCAATGCCACTGAAACCATGTGTTCGTCTTTCCTAGCTTTCTAGGCATCCAGTTTTACTTAGAGGCTTGCAAATCATCTCTACCAAACGACATTTATTTAAAAATTTGCTAATAAATAGCAAGGAGTTGGAACCTCGCCCAATAAATAGAGCATACGTTTCTCTATTGTTCGTATCGTTGAATGCCTCTACCTCTTTTAGTTTCCCAGTAATTCATACCTATTCAGAAGCCTGCAGACTCTCTCCTAAAAAATATCAATATTTAAAAATTCGCTGCGGAATCCCCAAAATGGCTTTTAAATTCAAAATCTCCCAGTAGATAGAGCGCAATTTTCTCTATTAAATTATGGCAAGCGCATGTATCCACTTCTTCTTGTTTTCCTGTTATCCAGTTTTATTTAAGGGTTTGCTAATCCGCTTTATTAAAAATCATTAATATTWAAAAAATCTCAATCTGACTGAATTTAATATTCACCCGGAAGATAGAGCCCGCTATTCTCTATTAAATTCAACTGAAGGCACGTTTCCAACGCTGCSGGTTTCCCAGTARTCAATTTTCATATAGCGACTTGCAAATCTTCTCTAGGAAAAGGCASGAMAAATTTACAAATCGGCAAAAATATTTTTAAAARCCATTTGAATTAGAAAATRGCCGGGAAAACAGAGCCGCTCTTCTCACTCAAAGCATATTAAGCCAATGATTTTGTCTCGACTTTTTTGTTATTTAATATTTKAATCTTGCTTGCACTTGCACCTGCTAGAAGACACTGAAATTCAAAAATTAGCCAAAAATTCTCCATTAAAGTTTCCGAATGGAAACTCGCCCAGAATATAAAGCGTATTTTTCTCTATCAAATGCGCCTCAATGCGTCCCTTGGATTTTGGATGTTGCACTTTTATTTCGAGACTTACGGAACATCTGCCTACTGGAAGACGCTCATTGTTAAAAATTCCTGGAAAATATCCGATACGGTTTCAGAACAGCAACTCTTCTTGTATAGAGAGTCGGATTTGCTCTATTAAACGCCAGTAAGGCGGTGTTGTCGTATTTTCAGATTTCCCGGAAATTAGTGTTGAATTAGTTCCGTTTAAAAAAAAATTACACAGATTTTCAGAAATTCGTTAAAAATTCCCAAATAAAATTTTCCTGTTGATGTTCACTGGTTATATAGAGAGCACTTTCAGCTATTTTATGCTATGACTCAGTATATGTTTGCGCCTCTTCTGAGTTCAGAAAAATTTATTTTCTTTGGAGGCTTTCGGATGTTCCTCACACCAAGTCACACAAAATTTTTAAGCTAGCCAACAATTCCTCAATTTCGGTTCAGAATTAAATTCGGCCAGTATATAGAGCGTATTTTTCTCTATGAAATGCGCCCCAGCGCGTGTTCAGAGCCTCTTTAGGTTTTGGGACGTTGCACTTTTATTTCAAGGCTTACTGAACATCTGCCTACTAGAAGACGTTCATTGTTAAAAATTCATGGAAAATATCCGATACGGTTTCAGAACAGCAACTCTTCTTGTATAGAGAGCCGGATTTCTCTAATAAACGCCAGTAAGGCGGTGTTGTCGTATTTTCAGAGTTCCCGGTAATTCGCGTTGATTTAGTTTCGTTTAAAAAAATTACATGAATTTTCAATAATTCGTTGAAAATACCCACATAAAAGTTTGACTTGTCGCGACTSACTGCTTTTATAGAGGGCACTTTCAGCWATTTTATGCTATRACTCAGTATATGTTTGCGCCTATTCTGAGTTYAGAAGAATTAATTTTCTTTGGGGGCTTTCGGGTGTTCCTCACACCAAGTCACTAATATTTTTAAATTCGCCAACAATTTCTTAAGGTGGGCTTAGAATTAAAACTCGCCCCGTATATAGAACTTAATTTCGACGGCAAATTTTGCTACTGAACGCAGATCCTGATTTTCTCAAATAATTTTTTACAAAATTATTAATGTTTATGCAAAGGCACCAACTAATATTGCAAAAATCGCCACGAAGTCATGGATAAAAACATCAAATTGAAACTCACCAGTTATGTAGCGGGAACCTTTAGCTATCAAACGCTGCTAATCGCATAATCGGAGTTTTTTTGGTTTCCCAGGACGCAATCTTCTTAAAGCCTGGCAAAGCCAGTTTTTTTACTGAAAAACTCACAAATCGAAAATTTCCAAATAAGAGTTTCCAAGTGAGACTCGTTCTGTCTATAGGCGCCACTTTTAACTATCAAATGCCACTGACCGTATGATTCCACACTGGTTTCCGAAAGATTAATTTTATGTGTGTTCTTTGAAAGGAATTCCCACTTCCATTCCCACATTTTGAGCTGCAGAATTTCGCTATTCCAGACGCTGTATTTTATGATTCATCTCCGAATCGACTTCATTTCGTTATCGCGGCTTGGGTAGACACTCATGATAAACCAGAATCAACAAACATCATTAACCAAGATAGTGTTTACACAATTGGAGTCATCCACATGCTGGCGGGTAACTGGAAACACTCCATAACTCAATAATTGGAAATTCGCTGACACACTCAGAAGTTTCGGTTTTGCGGTTTTCCCAATCGAAAATCAACAAGCGATTACCGAGAAAGATAACTTTTTTGTCTAAACAATAACTGCTTAATTAAGGAATGAAATATTCCCATCGTTCCACGTTTGACGTCCAAAGTACGTTTCTGAGATATTTATTGGATTCCTCCAGGAAATAGTTCTCCAGCCATCCAGAGACCATAAATTAATTAGCGAACGGGACTGTTCCGTTCGATGCGCTCCTTGCTCCCAATTTGATATTCCATAGGGAATTTCATCTATTTAAAGGACCGTATAATATGGAATCCAGCTCCACTAAATGGCAGAAAAACTGCAGAAATTTCTTAATGGGCTCAAGGGTTTCCCAACGAAAAACCCAAATCCTTGACCTTTTCGCTGATAGTCAAATGCACAACAACAATCTTGCATTTTCTCTTGATTAATTTCCAAATAGATCGACAATTAGTGATGCTCTTTTCGCCTGCTGCTGATTACACGCGGGTCAAAATGTTATCGTCAGGCAATAGATTAGCTTCAAAAGGATTTATGAATGAGTTTGCGTGATCTTCTAAGCCTTAAATGTCGTTCAGGGCTAAACACACACGCACGGTGGCTACCTACTTAGTTAATCTATGGTGGCTACCTAGTTTTCGTTAAATCTGCTTTCGCTAGGCCAAAGTGGACGTTTTTTCTTCTAGAGTCAAGAGCAAATAGGTAAAACGGGCAGCGTGTTTTGTTGACACCCTGAAAATTTTTTAAAGAAAACGATTGGTTTAAGGAATTGAGCAGATAGTGGACGACCAAGAGATGCTAAACGGGCAGAACTTCCAACAGGTCTTGTGATTTGAATGATTGAATTGTATATAGATGATTGCTCCAAACACGCATGAAATGTACCGAAAATATCGATTATTTTGGAACTAAAACTTCTGGCGTGGTTTTCAAGGAGTTCGTTGCATTCCTCGCTTCCGTAAAATCACAATGATGTAGATTTCAAGGTGTTTCGAGAAAATGTATATTTCTTTAATTTTAAAATTTGAACTACAGAAGCAAACGAGAAAATCGATCTCAAATTTGGAAAAATGCCATAAAATTGCCTGCGGATGACGTAAATTCAAAACTTTTCAAACTTACAGAAGATGTTTTCTCTAAAAGATGCTGACCTCGCGAGAATTTGTCTTCCCTGGATGCTGAGGACAAAATTTCAAACTTTCGTCTTCAGAAACAAACGAGAAAATCGAAACTTTTGCTGCCTATAGAAGATTCTTTTGTCCATAATATGCTGATAAAGACAAGTTTTTGTAATAGCAGGTTCCCGAAAATGAAAATATTAAAATTTGAACTACAGAAGAAAACCAGAAAATCGAACGCAAATTGAAAAGTTTACCAACGTATAGACGTTTTCTCTAAAATATGCTGCCAAAGGCGAGACTTTGTCTTCACTGGATGCGGAGGACAAAATGGTCGCAAGCTTGTMGTTTATAGAAGATACTTCTATCTGGAAGGTGCTGCTAAAAAASTCCAAATTTGGCCTACAGAAACAAAGGCGAAAATTGATCGCAAATTTATAAAAAAATTWTAACAACCTAAAACAGCAGGCAATTAAATAMAAATTAAATATTGTATGATGACAGAAAATCGAAACTTTTTATGTTYTAACAAACAACTTTCTTTGCAAGGCTCGTAGAAAATCAAGCAGTTTTTGTGGAAATTAATGCTGAATTTAGAGTTTTGAAAATATACCCAAAAAGCACTGCAGATTATGAAAAATCAAAGTGCCTGATGGTGATGGCTGAAAATCGAAACTTTTGCAACGTTTTTAAGAGACTTTTGTCTAGATAACGTTATTAAAAACGARTCTTTKCCATCACAGATTTCTRATAAAATCGAACGCAAATTCGAAAAATTTCCTGATAATGACTGAAATTCGTAGCTTTTGCAACTTAAAGAACAGGCTTTTCTTAGGATATGCTGACGCMACTAAGTTTTTGTCATCAYTGGCGGCCAACAAAAATTTGARAATTTTGGATTGCAGAAGCAAACGAGAAAATCGAACGTTAATTTGTAAAYATTCCATAAGCTTGTCTGAAKATGACATAAATACGAAAGTTTTGCTGCTTATTGAAGATTCTTTTGCCTTTAATATGCTGACAACGACAAGTTTTACTCTTAGCTGGTTCCTGAAAGCGAAAATTTTAAAATTTGAACAACAGAAGCAAACAAGAAAATCGAACTCAAATTTGAAAAATACGATAAAATTGCCGAAGAATGACTTAAATTTAAAACTTTTTGAACTTATAGGAGAGGTTTTCTCTTAAAGATGCTGCCAAAGGCGAGTTTGTCTTCACTGGATGCTGAAGACAAAATTTGAAACTTTTGCCTTCAGAAACAAACAAAGTCGAAGGTAAATTAGAAATATTCCAGAAAATTGTCTGAAGATGATGTAAAATTGAAACTTTTGCTGCCTATAGAAGATTTTTTGTCCATAATATGTCGACAAAAACAAGTTTTTGTTTAAGCAGGTTCCAAAAAACAAAAATTGAAACATTTCAACTACMGAAGCGAACGGGAAAATCTATCTSAAATTTGGTAAAATGCCATAAAATTGCCTGCGACGTAAATTAAAAMCTATTCGAACTTATAATATATAATAGAAGAAGTTTTCTTTAAAAGATGCTTCCAAACGCGAGATTTTGTCTCCACTGAATACTGAGGACAAAATTTCAAGCTTTTACCTTCAGAAACAAACGAGAAAATCGAATGCAAATCAGAAAAATTCCATAAATTTGTCTAAAGATCAAAACAGATTAATCGAAACTTTTTACTGCACCTGGTAGAACGAACCTTACCGAAAAACGCGCCAATAAGAGAGAGTTTGCCAATTCGAATGAGGACGAGTGCATTCGGGTGTCTTCGTCCCTGCATCCACAAGTGAGAGCGACGTATGAAATCCGCCCATCTCTGTCTGACCTCCGCCAGATACCAGAGCTGATCAAAAAATACAGACAAAAATCGCACGGCTCTAGGTAATTCTAAGACTGTCAACAATATGTCAACTTCTTTTGAGACAGTGACTGACAATTTTTGGGGGGTTTTCTGCTGAATTTGCGCCTAATCATGGCCTTAGCTGTATGTGCTCGCGATGTTAAGTTCTACGATTGGCCCAGTTTTCATTTCATGGGCGCCTACGAGGTTCCAGCTGAATACCTGTCAGTAAAGGGCATTTCCTGGTGCTGTGACGGTTCCAATCTGCTGGTGATCAATAGCAAGGGGGAGCCTCTACTAATCACGGCGCCTGCCAAGTCCCAAACGAAAATTTCCATTCACAAATGTGTCCCTGTTGTCAACGTCTTTGCGGGCGTGTTTGCCAAAAAACGCTCCAACGATCTGGCCCTGGGTCTGGAGAATGGGGAAGTCAACAGGTTCGACTTGCAAACCAAAGAGTTTGTTAGGTGGGGTTTAGATGATTCGATCTTGGAGCTATTCTGTATAGCCCCCATATGTTGGTTTGTTTCAGGTATAAAAAGCTCCCCAGTGGTATTCAGAACCTGGATATGTCCGCGGATGACCAGAACCTGCTGGCAGGGTGTTTTGACGGGCACATATTCCTCTATGACACCAAAGGAACGCCTTCGGCCAGTCTGATGGTTCCTAACAGTTATTCGCTTTCCACTGCGTTGTTTAGCAACTATTCCAAGCTAGTGGGAGGCGCCAGCAAGGATGGTTCTTTTGCAGTCTGGAATGCGGAAACCACTGATCTGGAGTTCGCCTGCAAAGAACACACGTCCAGAATCACCGACTTGGGATTTCTGGAAAACACAGTCACCACAGTGGGGACCGATGGGTTCCTTTGCATCTTCGACCTGCGAACCAGCAGCTTGATCAGCAAGAACAACCTGGATGGGGCGCTTTCCAGCCTGGCGTATTTTCCAGGCAGCTACGATCTGGCGGTCGGCACCTACAACCAGCTCAGAAGCTACGATGTTCGGAACCTCAACACGCCAATCCGAACTCTGCTGGTTAACAATGGAGGCCACATCAAGAGCATAGCGGCTTCGCCTAGAGGCCTGGAAATTGCCCAGAGCAGCCTGGATAAAACCGTGCCTGCCTCTGGGGACTTTTCCATTCCGTCCAACTACCCATCCAGTGGCCGACTGCAGGAGTTTGAAGCAAAAGCGGCCAAACCGAGCCGGACTTACAAGCAGTCCGAGGTCCAGGAACTGGAAAAATTCATCAACGACTACATGAAGTACATTTCGATGCAATTTGCCGAGAAAATGGCGCAGTCGTTCTACGGCCTGCGGATCAGCACCAGCAAACAGTTCATCTGCATGGGCGAGAAAATGGATGAGAGCTGGAAGAACTTCATTTCGTATCTGCGATTTGCTGGCGAGTCCGATAAGGGATCCACGTTTTGCTCTAAAGATTCGCTTAAAGATAAAGGCAAATAAAGACTTTGGGCGTAAAGTTGTGGGTATTTTGAGGGAGAGACTGGGGAAGTTTTCAAACAAAAAGTTAGTTGAGCAGATGGAGAGTGCGTTTTTTGACTACTTGGGAATGAAATGTTGGCTCCAAACTCTTTACCCAGATCCAGATTCAGAAGCAGGATTTCGCTATTTAAGACACATTTTTTGAGAAAACCTATGGATGAAGTCTGCAAGGTTGCTCAGTTTGGTGGCTTTTCAAGGCGTCGATTTCAATTGCTTCCACGCTTTTAAATGGATACTAGTGAGGCTGATAAGCTTTCAAAAGTATCCTTAAAAGGTTTTCCAGCGGTTCTTTAAGAATGTTTTCAGTGTTCAAAAATCGCCCAACAAACCTCAAAGCTTGGCACCAAATGAGCGGTTTTCTTTAAAAGTGGCTTTTAGAAAAAGTGTCCTAAATATGGAGATCAAAACTTGATTAGGAGACAATGAAACCCTTGATTAACTACGCAAATGTAATGATAAAATTAATGTAAATTTCAACAGATTTTTTTGGAAAAAGTTTAAAATAAATTGAATCCATTTTTATCATTAACTAATATTTTATCAAAATGGACTTACACCACTTTTTTGCCAAACTGCATTTCTTTTATCGCTGATAAGTGCTACAGTAAATATAGCATTTTGTGCAGGAATATGAATGTTTACATCAAACTCTATGGACAAAGAAAAAATATAATTTTCCTCAGGCTCTATATACCGAGTGAAAACAAATGCGTCCTCAGAATGCTAAGATTCTGGACCTTTTCCAGAAGCTTTCGTTTCCACACACCCTAGTTTTCTCCATATAAAACTCGCATCAATTAACAAATTTTCTCTAGCGGCATCTAAATAGCGTTGAATCGTGTGGATTTTGCTCCAATTTGCGCATTTTTCCTAACGACCATCTCTTCTATCTTTAAGTGAGGAAGCCCAAGCTCATTTGCAGAAATTTAACATAAAATTTAGAACACCAGCAGGACGTGGGTAACACTGTGTTGAGTTGCGCTTTGAAGTTGTTGCCACTCTCCGTCAATGAGTTATAACTCCTCGGGCAATGAGTGATAACACATGCACTGCGCCAACCCAGGCTTAAATGAAACAGTCATGTGTTTGCTGTGTCCAGCCCTTTGGGCACGACACTGGCTTTTGGAAAAACCTGTCAAGAGCCTAGTTGAGAGTGTTTTCGTGTGTCGTGCTCACAAAATCTCTATTAGACAAATTTGGATGTCACACGTTCTATCGCCAGTAGATTCGCAGAAATTTATTAATTAACGTTTGCGATCATTTTATTTCTGATAATGGTGCGAATACGAAACTTGCTTAATTTAGCAGGAATACATTTTTAAAGCGCAGTTTAAGAAGAAACTCTAACGCCCCAAGTTGGAAGGTTTGGGAAACGATTTGGGAAAAATCGTCCCCGATAATCTCGCAGAAAGACCAAATTTTCAAAATCCAGAGATTAATGTGTGCTCTTTCCAACACACGCCTTGGCCACTGGGTTTGGTCAAACTGAATGTTTTGAAAAATTCTCAGTCTTTTAAATTTGAGTTGCCACCTGCTTGATGATGGCCCAAAAGCAAAACTTTCCCCAGCCTGAGAAAAAAGTGCGCTCTTTCCAATACATGATTCGGCACCAAGCCATCTCACTCACTTTGGCAGAAATGATTTTTTTATACTACCCTCAACTTAGATTGAGCTTCTCTTGAACCAGTCAGGGCAAAAAACACTCTAAACTTGACAATGGATTAGTGTTGGCCAAAAATAAAATCTGCCGTCCCCGAAGATCTCCTTCCATCCGCAAAAAACTGGCTTGCGCTTCTGGTCGCCAGAAACTTCAAAAACGAAAAAAAAAATGGTGAACGCTTCAAATTTCAAATTTGTCTACTGGCACTGTAGGCCTGGGTAACACTGTGTTGAGTTGCTGCCTCTGAGTTAATGAGTTGCAACACTCAGGCAATGCGTTGTAGCACACGCACTGGCTCTAAACGCGTTTTTGGGTTTAAACCTGTGTCGTGCCCACAGGGCTTGGCATAACTTCGAAGGCCCGAAGTGTCTAATGTGTCTGTTGTGCCCAGCCCTTCGGGAAGACAAACTATCTAGATTGCCATTGGATCAAATTTGACTACTGGGTCACACTGTGTTGAGTTGCGCTTTTGAGTTGTTGCCGCTCTCTGAGTTAATAAGTTATACCTCAATTATCAATTAGAATTAAGTTGACCCGGGGCCGGAACAACGCTTTAAACAAGTAAAAATAAAAGACGTTTTCCCAGCCATGGCACTGAGTTACCGCGCCAGTGGGCACCAAACCATTTGCGCAGCACTGCGCCAACTCTTAAAAATTCGCCGAGTTACCCAGTGCCAGCAGGCATCCTGTGTGAAGCTCAATTTGCGATTCCTGGCCTAAAAATAATAAACTCAATGTCCTTCAGCGGGGAACAAGTTTCAAATATAGCAAAAATAAATAAACATTGGTGGCTTTGTTTATGCGAAAAGCTGTTAATTTGCCAGATGACCCACTTAATTAATTGCCGAGTGCGAAAAGGAATTTTCATTGAATAACTATCGGTTGGAAAATTCGGGCGATAGCGCCATTGTTGTGCACGGGAAGTTTGGAGATCCTACTGGGAAAACTGGCCTTCCGATGGCATTTATTATCGCTTTTACCGCAAAAAGAGGTGTTTTCTGCATGGATATTCAGATCACCGAATTATTAATATCCAAGGTTGGAGCTTCCATGTGGCCCATCAAATCCAGTCACGTACGAAATGTCTGCATCAATAATTTAAATGCCTGGCGATTGATTAACCCGTTACAACACTGATTGATTAAATCTGCATTCAGACAGCCGATTTAACCCGCAGTTGGGATGCAAGAAAATTCGAAGTCTGTTCCTTTGGAAATTTTTTGAACTTTTTTATGCCTTCGTTCAGACTATTGGACTTAGTAATAAATTAGTTTTTCTCAAATCCTGAATTTTTGCGTAGAATGGCCAGATGCATTCGAAACAGCCAATTTTCAGGTCTGGATAAAAAATGGAAGTAAGCACCACAGACAACAAACAAAAGATAGATGGAAGAGGTTTTTGTAACGAATCCAGACTGATTTCTGACTGAAACAGCGATCACACGTGGAATTTGCCCTTAAAAAACAAAAAAACTCGGGAGTGGACGACATAACAAAGGAACTACGAAATATGGGGGACCGAGACTCAACCAGCAATTCGAAACTCTTATCCGCAGGACGCTTTTAGTTCGTAAAATCCCGGATGAATCGTGATCGACCATCACAATCCTCACGTTCAAAAATCCAATCAATCCGTCCGAAACCCAGTTCGGTTTTATCAAAACTCTGGGAACACAAGAAACTCTCTTCACGAAAAGAAATTTTTCAAAAATCAGTTCCTTAAAACCAGAACTAGAATCAATTCAACTCAAATATCGGGTAATCGGAAAATGCTATCTGCATTTCGGAAATTTGGAAACCACTTTTCAATTGACACTCAAATGCAGAATTCTCCAGAAAACCGTCCTCAGCATCATTCAATAGACTAAATCTCTCGCTATTTATGTGTCGCAACTTTCGGTTTACTCTCATTTTTTGTCAATTTTTGGTTGTCGCGACTGGAAAATATGGTTTGCGTTTCAGCCCTTTGGGAGCAACTTTTGAAAAGTTTGTCACTCAAAAGCAAAATCAACTATAAGGCTGCTCTTATCGTTAATCAATAGAACAAAACTTGTTCCATTCACTCAGAAAGAACTCTCTTCTTCCTTTTTTCCAAATTTTTGTCGCCAAAAAAAGCCACAAAAAGCGTCTCTCGAAGCGATTTTTGAGTTCGTAAAACAATACCGGAATTAGTCAGAATAGTGCTCTCAACGTTATTCGAAAGAAGAAACCGTATTTCGTACCTCTGGCCGAGCCCTTTTTCCATAAAACTGCTTGTGCAGAAGTGTTAAGATCAACGACGTGACTTTAGACTACCGGAAGGTTTTTGATGGTATTAAACGACCTTCTTCTGGAAAGGCTACATGATATTGACATCAGAATAATCCAGTCCTGGTTCTGAACCGAAATCTTCTCTTAATAAAACTACAGCGGGCAAATTTGTTTTTCTTCCCCCGGCCGAGCGGGCGATTTGCAGCAAAGTGAGCGCGTGCCTTCGCTTAAATAACTTTCCCCGGAAAGGAGAATTGAATGTAATTATGAGAGCCTTTAAAGCAAGGCCCTTCAAAGGGCCCTCCCGAGAGAATCGCCAACAATAAAGTTAATTATTTCCAAAGACACGGCCCTCTAATCGTGCTGGAAGTTTATTTTTGGCAAAGGTCAGTTGAAGGGAAAATACAAACTCGGTGAAAATTTTCCTGCTGATTAAAAATACGGAAAATGTAAAACAGTTATCGAAAAGCTGAAAGTATGCAAGGGTGTGCCCATGTGGAATTCAGAGGGAAAAGTTTTGCTTTATGTGAATAGGAAATTTTAATTCTACGTCTTCATCGGGGACTTTTGGGCGAATTTTTTTAAATGTCTTACAAGATTAAATAAAAATTAATTGGCCGAAGAGGAAACAAGAGGGAAACCTGCTCCCAATGGTATTTAATAGAAAAAATTGTGGTAAATCTACTGGGCGAGTTTGAATTTGAGATCCGTCCCGGGAAATTTTCCAATATTTTTTTTAAATGTGAGTATTGAAAAAAAATTGCAAGCTTCTAAATGAAATTGGCTTGCTGGAAAAGCTGAAGAGGTGGAACGACGAACTTATCGGCATTTGATTATGAAAATTGTACTTTATATACCGAACGGGCATGAACTGCGAGAACGCAGCAAAAATCGTTGGAGGATGGTAATTTTCTTAAAAATTTGTTTTGGACTCTGTTAACCAAAAATGTTATGTTCGAAAACTGGCAAAGGCAAAAATACGCTCCCGCCGGCTTTTGATAGAGAAAAGCATCCTTTATATACCAAGAGTTTCAATTTGAAGCTCTCCTCGCTGATTCTTTGATATTT